AGGACGGTGATACATGCTGTAGCACCCTGTCCTGCACCAGACCTCTGTGCTTTCATACTCTGATAAAGCCCAAGCAATGGGTGAATTTTATACAGTTCTAACAAAGGGGGTTAATTTGGAAAAAGGAAAGATGCCAAAGTGATAGATGTTCTTTCTCTACCCCTGTGAACCACTGCTGCTTTCTCCCTGCCTGAGAGCTGATCTTGATTTCAGGGGCTGTGTTCAGAGGACCCTGGGCTTGAGAATTGCCGCCATCGCGCTGACCTAGTTTCCACCCACATGCCCTTGTATTGTGCAGGTCCTGGAAGCTCACTAGCCCTGCTCGTCTCTCCTGAGCGCTCCCTGTCTCACAAAGTGCTCTGATCCCATGTCCTATCTGCCTCCAGCCCACAAGTCCTTCTTGGTGGCCTGGCGCAGTGAGCCAGTGTCCTCTGGGCTGTCATGTCTGGCGGCCCCTCTTGGGCCCCGTGTACCTCTGAGCTCAGTTACACAGGACTGGCTGGCCCATTTCCTCCTTCAGTCCTTGAGACTGATTGTTGCAAGTTTTGTAAACGCTTGCATTCATTTCCCGTGGGTGTTTGCTGCATTTTTAGGAGGCAAAAATGACATATTCTTTCTGCCTATATGCAAATGTGCTTTTGCAGTGTTTCCTCTGAAGGAGCCTGGACTCTAGGCTCTTGGGCTGGCTCATGCCTTCCTGGCCAGCAGGGGGCATCTGCAGCAGAGACTTAGGTTGCACTGAGTTTAATTGGCCAGTACCTTTCAATTTTAATTTTGCAGCCCGCATACCTACACAGGGAGCAGATTCAAAACTGCTGAACCCTAGACTCACTCAAACCCTTTCAGTTGAAACCACTAATGTGAGTCGTCTCCAGAAAGAGTGATCTTCCTCTGAGCCTTTAATCAAACTCTCACCTGGGCATTTCCCATTGATTTCATTTCAAAACAAGTTTTTCCTTATAAAACAAAAGGATAACAAGAGGGAGGACAGATGTAAGAAGGTATAAAATCATTTCCTGTTAACAGGCCTTAGTGACAGCCAGAAAGAAATGCCGGTGTGTTCAGAAATTGCCAGTAAACAGGCCAGACAGCTGCTTTTGACTCTAAGGTCAGCTAGGCTCCAGTTTATTTTTAAAGGGGAAATAATTCAGTGAGCTTGGGCTTTGTTGTAGTTTCCATTGGTCCTGCTGCCTTCCCGGAGTCCTGTGGGTGCAGCTAAGAGGAGAGGAAGGGGACAGGGGTGTGAAGGCATTCCAGAAGCCAGGAGGAAACAGGCCCGACCCTTTCCTCCTGAGACTGAGAAGCGCCCACATTAGGCGTGGCTCCAACTGTGACTGCCCTGGATCCTGCACACAGACGCAGCCAGGCCCTTGTGCCCCAGCAGCCTTCTAATTAAGCAGACTGGCATCCCCCACGCAGGCTCTGTCTCTGAGGGGCTGTGCTGGCAGCCCCCGGAGGGAGCAAGGCATCCGTAGCCAACAGGGCTTCCCTTCCCACCTCTGAGGCCAACATGGGGGAAAGTGGAATGTGACTTTCTTTATTTTTTAAATTTGTTCTTTTTATATATACACATGACAGTAGAAAGTACTTGGACATTATCCATACGTGGAGTATGACTTATTCTAATTAGGATCCCATTCTTCTGGTGGTGCATGATGAGGAGTTTCCCTGGTCGTGTGTTCACATATGTACATAGGAAAGTGATGTCCGATTCATTCTGTCTTTCCTACTGCCATTCCCCCTCCCTTCCCTTTGTTCCCCTTTGTCTAATCCAGTGAACTTCTACTCTTCCCTCCCCTTATTGTGTGTGAGCATCCACATATCAGAGAGAGCATTCTGCCTTTGATTTGGGGGATTGGCTTCTTATTGATTTGGGGGATTGTCAGTTAGCATGATCATCTCTAGTGCCATTCATTTACTGGCAACTGTCGTCCAGTCATTCTTCTTTACGGCTGAGTGAAACAGAACGTGACTTACTACACGTGATGAAATGTGAAACATGGAATGGAATGGAATGTGATTATCTACAACAATTTTATAAACAGTTGATTTCCACATAATTCCATTAAAAAACAACTATAATCAAGTGACTACTGGGAATCTGATTCAAACGGATGGTAAAAGTTTTCTGTGGGGTATCTGGAGCACTTATCTACAAAGTATATACAGTGTATTCATGGGGAAAGCATAAATAAATAGTCACAGAAAACTTGAAACGAAATGTGTTCCTAAGACAGAGCCTGCTCCTGGCATAGGGATGGTCTTTGAAGATGACTTTCCTTACTTCTGTGTCATAATTGCACTCATGTCAGATTTTCTATAGGCAAGAACAATGCAGACAACCTCCCCAATACCTCCCAGACTATGGTTCTGCATCAGGTGAAGGCTGTGCACTGCTCCAGACAGTGAGTGTGTCATGGTTCCTAACACACCTAGAGGTGCACAGAGGACCCTAACATCTGGGCTTGGCCTGGTCCTGCACAGAGCTCCTACCTCCCCACACCCTCCTGAGCCTAGAGGACCCTAACATCTGGGCTTGGCCTGGTCCTGCACAGAGCATCTTGTTCTACAGCCTGCCGTGCTGGCAGGGAGGGAGCCAACCCACTGGGTTAGTGGTGAGAAGGTCTTGGGGAAAGAGCAGAAGGGATGGACAATGCAGAATGGACTCTCTTGGCAGTAGTTATTGTACCCCCTGTGCTAAGGGAAAATGGGGTGTCAAAACTAGATATTTCCTGGAGTGCTCTTCACTTCTCTGACATCCGTAATCACTCCTCCTGGCATTCTGTAACTTGAAGTCTTTCATCTGGTCTCCCTGGGGTTTGTGGAAAAGAAGCAGAACCTAACTTAACTACAGGTGACCCCGTGGCTTCTCTGTCTCGCCTGGTTATGATTAGTTTCCACTCGAAGAAAAATGTTAACTGCTCTATGAGGAAAAAGACCTAGATATTTTCAGCAAGTATTCCTGAATGCTTTTCATGCCAGCCTTTGGCCAGGCACAGGGGATGGAAGCCTTTGAGATACCTACTTTCCAGGAGTTCTCTTGTCAAATTGGAAACAGACACATAATCATGAATGTCATACAGTTTGACATCACCCTTAAGAGCTGGGTGAAGTGCCACAGCACCCAGGCGAGGACCATCTGGGTGTCTGCAGGGCTCGCTCCTTGGTTAGAATCAGAGCATTGCTCAGTGCTCTTTATCTCAGTCCCGATAAAGGGAAGCCTGACCTCAAGATTGCCCTTAGGACTGAGAGTGAGAAGGCTGCCTCTTGGAGGGGAGTCCAGAACCGGGACTACATTCACGCCCTGAACTGCTGGCCACACAGGGCAGCAGACGGCTCTGGCAGGTCCGAGGCCACCAGTCGGCCTCTGTGAAGGCGGCTGCATGTGAGAGGCTCTGCCAGCTGGCTGGGCCAGGCGCTGGGGCTGAGGAGGAAGCGCAGTGGAGAGGAATGTCACCCAGCAGAATACACGACGCTGTGGCTGGGACGGCTCACACACATCTAGGCACACTCCGTCGTCCTGCAGAAAGGGGAGCTGGGGTCAGGCAGTAAACAATAATTTATAAAATGTCATGTGCCAACTGGTAGTTGGGCACAGAGTCCTGAGGATGGGTGGACTATGCGGAGCCATTACCCTGTCACCTCCAGAGACCCTCGGGCTCACCCTGGCTGGTGGTCGTAGGTATTTAAGCTCCCTGTTATTCTCATCCTCGGGATGAAAATGACACTACGGTAGCTTCTATGTAGTAAAGAAGAGAATGCATGCATAGCCATTACGATTGAAACAAGACGGTGCAGACTAACCAGGGCCAGCCTGCAAGTGCTGACCAGCAGTCTCTGCACTGGTGCTCGTCCTGCTGCGAAAGCACAGAGGCAGTGACCTGGCTTTGTCCTTTGTTTCCTGGAGGCAGAGGAGGTCTGTTTTTGAGCTCTGTGTGCTGGTGTGACATTCCTGTTCCCTTCTCTCTCTTCCAGGGCCAAGGAGATCAAGATCAAGTTGGGCACCCTCCTGCAGAAGCCCGACTCGGCTGTTGACCTCATCATTCCATACAATGAGAAGGCGCAGAAGCCAGCCAAGCCCCCGAAGTGAGTGAGCCCTGGCTCCCCTGCTGCACAGTCCCTCATCACTCTCTGCAGATCAGAGTCCTCCGAGAGTGGGCTTGTAGACACACTTTCCCTATGATCCATTGATGGAGCACAATATCAGATACTGGCAGACTCACACACACACACACACACACACACACACACTCAGAGAAGGAGAGTGAGAAAGAGCCCTTACCTGGGGAAAGACTTACCATACTCTGTAAGAGGGAGCAGCCACCTGCTTGGTCAGCCAGCACTCAGATCTGGCGCTGGCTGGGGCCAGGAGCACTCCCTGACCATGAGCCAGGAAGCTGCAGCTGGCAGCTGGGGGCAGGGCCAGCATTCTCAGGGTGTGAGGAGCGTTTTCCTCTGGAGGTCCTGAGGGTCGGGCAGATGATTCAAGACTCAGCTTCTTCTCCAGTGTGGAGACCTCCCAGGTCCAGAGAAGAGTGGATGCTGGGTGGCCATTGTTAAGTCCTGCAGAGCAGAGCTCCCTGCAGTCCTGCAGAGCATTCCTGGGTTTCCTGTGCTCAGGTGAACTTAGGCACCACAGGAAGCTGTAGCGCTAGGGAGTCGAGATGTCGGCTCCTGCAGGACGCTGGCCCCCTTTCCGTCAGCAGGGGAGGCACAGAGTCCCCACGCGCTCCTAGACGACCACACAGGGTGGGCAGCCCTCCTCTCTCTGCACAGAGGAAGAAACCAGGTGAATTCTGCTCCTGAAGGTCCTGGAGACCACAGAGTGTGCCTGTCAGCTTCTTTCTCCTTCCTAAACTAACGCTTGGGTGCTCCACCAGCCATGCCTGTCTAGGCACCTCCCACCTCCAACTAGCTGGACTAGTTGAGACACACCGACATGGATTTTTCTTTTTAAAATTGCCATTCACCCTAAGTGGACATCTCCATTTGCCTCCAGTGGACTCTCACAGCTGAAAGGGCTCATCAGCAGGAAGCAGCAGTCTCAGGCCAGTGGGAGCAGGCCAGACCTGTGTGGAAGTGGCCAGTGGGTCAGGTACTGACCTGCCGGGATCGGCATTAAGAAATGGCACTGTGCCTGCCTTGACGGGCTGCTCGGAAGCCCCACAGACATGCTTGCAGTCTGGGCCCAGGGATTCCTGCTAAAGTCCCGGAGGAATGCTGGACCCCATCTGCAGGGTCTCTTGCCCCTTGACCTCCATCCCCACCCCTCCCAAAAGTTCTCAGGGTTGAGAAAATCCTTTCATTCCTGGGAGTGCCTGCTTATGTCTGCTGCTCCCAAACTTGCCACCCTGCCCACCCATCCTGGGGCGCCGGGTCTGTGCCCCTTGCCTGGCAGGCAGCTTGGTGCCTGCACCCTGATCTCTTTCCTCCCCTGGGTGCTCTCTACCCTCGTTCTGTCAGAGGAAGTGTTTCTGACCCTCTCCTTGGCATCAGCAGGGATTCCTCTCCTGGGAGACACTTTGTTTTATTTATTGTTTTAAAAAACATTCATATTTGCATAAAAATTAGGCCATTGAGAAAAACAGAAAAAGCTGCGGGTGTCCTCCCCCAGAAGGGGCTTCGCCTGGTCAGAGTTCCTGGTTCTCTGTCCCTTGAGCCCTCCACAGAGAGGGGCTGTGCCTATTCCAGTCTGCACAGGTCCCAGCCGCCTTCTTGGCTCTTAACCACTCACTCTCATGGCTGACTGCAGAGATTGAAGGCTATACCTGCCCCACCACCCAGCATTTCCTTCCTCCTTCTTATCAGGCTTGAGGCTTATGGCTCAGGGAAGCTTGGGTGCCTAGTTCACCTGGTGTCTGCCCATGAGCTCTGTCCTCTTCAGAGTTCCCACTTGACCACCAGCTACCTTTCCTTAGAGCTCTGACTTGTCTACCAGGGTGTCTGCCCACCAGCTGCCTCTTCTTAGACTTCCAACCTGTCTATCAGGGTGTCTGCCCACCAGCTGCCTCTTCTTAGACTTCCAACCTGTCTATCAGGGTGTCTGCCCACCGGCTGCCTCTTCTTAGACTTCCAACCTGTCTATCAGGGTGTCTGCCCACTGGCTGCCTCCTCCTACAGCGTTCTTCCTAGCATCTGGGCCTCTGTCCTCCCCTCCAGACTCTTCTTCAAGTGCCCCATGTTGGCCCACCCTCTGCATCTGAGCAGCCCAGGCCGGCTGCAGCCCTCACAGCAAGCCATGAGCAGAGTCAGCAGACCATGTGCTTTAGCCTGTGGACACTGCAGGTGGGGCTGTGAGCGACCATGGTGCGGCAGGGCAGACCTGCGCTCCTCTGAGGTTCTCACTCCAGGCTCCCTTTTCTGCCTGACGTCCCATCTCTGGCGGGGCCTGGGGGTCCTGCTATTGCTGTTGCTGTTTGCAGCTCAGGGGCTTTGGGCTGACTGCCCACAAATGCCCCTTACTGGGCTCTGAGTACCATCGCCCATCACAGCTGTGGCCAGGGTGGATTCACCCACTGTCTGCAAAGTGGGTCCTGCTGAGGATCGAAGACATGCCACCTCAGAAAGTGCTGCTATTTACAAGTTATGACCCACTGGTGTGCCTGGTCACTGCTGGCCACGGGGTGAAGGCAGGACAGGATTCACAGACTTGGGCTGGTCCTGAGCAGCTAGACCTGTGGGGAGAGCAGGGCGAGCAGAGCAGGCCTTGGTGAGTATCACTACACCCCTGGGGATCACCTTCCCACCGGAGCAGGGACCTGCAAAGACACTTACCAGGAATATTAAGTCAAGCCAGGCACCCCGCAGACTGCAAACCCAGCCCAAGCCCAGACAGACAACATAGCAACCCACACCAGTATTGGTGCTGAGAGAGGTCTTGACACCCTCCCCCTACCTGAGGTTATAGCCCATGCATGGCACAGCCACCAGCAGGCATGGCCATAGCTTCTTGGAAGCCACTGAAAAATCTCAGTTCATTCAGTTGTGGCTATTAGCAACCAATCCTGCCTCTGGGTAAGTGGGCCTGCACTCCCGTACTCAGCACCTGGACATGTCTGTTGCAGGCTCCCCTGCAGTGCATGCAGCTCACAATCAGCCGCAGATCAATGAGGATTTGCTGAGTCCTTATCCCGTGGCTGATGTTGCCCTGGGCACCATGGACAGGGTACCAGTGGGGAAATCCTGGCACTTTTCCACGTCCATGTGTGGACCCCAAATTGCAGACATCTTTTACCCTCACAAGAAACTCATGCATTAGAGGCTGGTGCTGCAGGGGCTGGGCCACAGGGCAGGGAGAAGGGGAAGGTTTCCTGAAGACTGCGATCCCCCAGGCAGTGAGAGAGATCTGGCAGGGTGGGTGGGAGAGTGGACAGGAGGGGCTTCCAGTTGAGATGGCCCCTGAACCACAAAAGCTTGGCCTTGTCAGACCTCCACCGAAGCTCATTTGCCCTCCTTTCACCGAGCTTCCCGTCCCTCCTTCCACACTCACACACAGAGGGCGCCCACTCCGTGTGGTCAGCTCTGACCTTCAGCCCAGGATGCCGACTGGCCATCCTGCATCTGTCTTGTTTCCAAGAAGCTGGACCTAATGAGGGCTCACGCATTCTGAGAATCAGGACAGGATGAACCTCGATGGCCTCCCAGGGTGTCATCCAAAGGAGCCGTGGGGCTTCGTCCACCTGACTACCCTTACCTTACTCTGAGCCAACTTGGCCCTGAGTGGGCCCTGCATGTATCCTTTCCAGGACTGATCTGGGCTGTGATGTGCTGCTGGCATCGACCGTCAGCTGGCTCCCACCAGACCACCTGGGACAGATAGGATTTGGCAAGGTGTTTCACCTGGGTGCACCTGCTCAGACCATAGCTCTCCCACTTCTCACCCCAGAGGGAAGGGCACAGGGAAGTGACTTCATTTTACTTACTCCAGGATCAGAAGATTCCGTGAGTGCATCAGGCCTTCCCCTTTTCTGAGCCAGTTTCTTTTATCCAGTAACTTAATATTCTGCTGCTTCTATGCACAATTTGATGTGATATGTGTCTATTAAGTACAAAATATTGAAACCACTCTAGTGAAGAAATTAGGGTATACAAGGCCTTGTGACAGCAATGTAGGAGCAAAAGAACACATTCATAGGGAGAGTCTCAGTATGAGGCAGTATAGAAGAGCCAAAGTGGTCACTGAGCAGAAAGTAGAGGGACTCAGGTCTGTGCCATTCCCCATCTCCCTTTCCCCCTGGATGAAGGGCAGAGAAGGCGGCTCACCTGTTCAGCCAATGACAGCTATGTCTTCCTCAGTCTGTGCAGGCTCTGTCACGGGGCCTGGAGTCAGGTCACTGGTCACTGCTGGCCACGGGGTGAAGGCAGGACAGCACTGCAGGTGCCGCTGCCCTTGCAGACAGTGAGGCTGCTTCTCAGCCTGCAGGACAAGGACCCACAACTGTGTCAATCTCAGCTACTAGATCGAAACATTAAAAAGCCACCTGCTATTTCTCAAACTAGAAACAGGAACCCATGGGCTGTGTGCAGAGTTGGCTGTGGTGCCGGAGCTAAAACACCTCCCTGGCCCACCGTGCCCCGTCTGTCTCTCTGTAGCAGGGAGAGCCGGACACCTCCCAGATGAGGCCAGCAGGTCCCTGGCACACTGATGGGAGGGAAGGACTGGAAGGAGGGGATGGGCACTGTGATGAAGCACCAGAGAGGTCATGGCAAGTGGCCACCAATTCCCCTTAGTCAGCACCGCTGGCATCTGTGGCAACGTTCCGTTCGAGGTGTACCAACCGCTTTTCTCAAAAATATTCCTCTGTCCTAATGGGCAGGGAGAACTGGCATGGATGTTTAAAACGCAGACTTGCTACGATCACTTCCTAGCATGAGGCACGGTCACAGCCCATCTTCCACTAGCCTTGCTGATGGCCTGGGGATGGGGAGCCCCGGGCCCCGCAGAGCAAATGGGCAAGGCTGAGAGGAGTTCAGCCCTGTGAGGGGTGGCCTGCCCTGGGGTGTGCCTGGGATGGAGACCACGAAGCCGCTGGCATGGGACACACGGGTCATGAAGCTTGGCTTCGTGGAGACAGATCTGCCAGGGGACACCACAGCACAGCCGCTGACTGCCAGGACCCATTTGCTGGGACACCACCGACCGTCCTCGTACCAGAATGGTGTCAGTGGCATCGTGCTCAGCAGGGCAGTGGCACTGCCGTATGCTGGCTGCCTGCCCAGGCCTGCTTTCTCCGTCCTCCCCCTTCTTCAGGCCCTCGCGGGACGAGGCTCTGCAGTGGCGTGACTCGCTGGACAAGCTCCTGCAGAATGACCGTAAGTGCACGCCTGGCCCTCTTCCCGCATTGGCGATTCTTCAGTCCTGCCAAGGGTCTCACCGGGGAGGCTGGCATGGGCTGTGGCTGTGCTGTGGCCAGGAGGGCAAGGAGGCTGGAGGGTGGAGACAGGCCGGGCATGCAGGGATGCACAGTGCCGGCTGTGTGCCCTCTGCCTGCTGCTCCTGAGGCAGAAGAGGTGGCTGGGCCCACGTGCTGCCTCCTTTGTGTTCTCCAGAGACCCGGTCTTGCTGTGTTGCCCAGCTGGCCTTGACCTCCTGGGCTCCAGTGATCCTCCACCTAGCCTCTGGAGCAGCTGGGACTCTAGGCACTGGCCACCGCACCCAGTAGACCTGTGTGCATCCTAAACCTTATTTGAATGGCTGGAACTAGAGACTGTCATGCTAAGTGAAATAAGCCAATCCTCCCAAACCAAAAGCTGAATGATTTCTCTAATAAGCAGATGCTAGTCCATAGTGGGGCTGGTGGGGCGGGGTAGGGAAGAATGAAGGAACTTTGGTTTGTGTCGAGGGGAATGAGGGGTGGGGTGGGGCTGAGGGGATGGGAAGGATGGTAGAAAGAGACAGACATTATTACCCTGTATACATGTCTGATTACACAACCGGAGTGAGTCTGCATCATGTACAGCCAGAGGAATGAGAAGTTGTGCTCTATTTGTATACTATATGTCAAAATGCATTCTACTGTGGAATTAATTAGTTAGTTAAGAAGGAAGGAAGCCAGGAAGGAATCAAGGAAGGAAGGAAGAAAGTAGTGCTGTCGCCAGGCACGGTGGGGCACGCCTGTGATCCCAGCTGCTTGGGAGGCTAAGGCAGGAGGATTGAAAATTCAAAGCCAGCCTCAGCAACTTAATAAGGTCTTGAGCAAGTTAGTGAGAACCTGTCTCAAAATAAAACATAAAAAAATGGCTGAGGGGGGCGCTGGGTTGTGGCTCAGAGGTAGAGCACTCGCCTAGCACGTGCAAGGCGCTGGGTTCGATCCTCAGCACCACATAAAAATAAATAAAATAAAGGCATTGTGTCCAACTACAACTAAAAAATAATATTAAAAAAAAGAAAATGGGCTGGGGATGTGGCTCAGTGGGCAAGTGCCCCTGGATTCAACCCCTGGTACCAGAGTTGGCTGCCCATCTCCTAATGGTGAGGAAGGAGCTGGCCTGACAGGTAGGGCAGGGCAGCGCAGCCTGTCAGACTGCTCCAGTGCTCCTGGGACCCCACGAGGGCTGCACGCCCCCTGCCTCGGTTCCCTGCCCTCTACAGCCCTTTCCCACAGCATCAGTTGGTCGGCCACACACTCAGGCATCTCAGGCTGCTAGGGGCTGGGCGCTGGGGGCTAAGAAAGCCAGCAGGGGCTGGGACCTGGCTCAGGTGGTAGCGTGCTGGCCTCACTTGCACAAGGCCCTGGGTTCAATCCCCAGGACCACACACACACTCACACACACAAAGAAAGAAAGAAAGAAAGAAAGCCATCAGGGGGCGGAGTGTGAGGCAGTTGGTGCTGATGCCAAGGCCGGGAGTCAGCAATGTGCAGAGGACCCTGAGCAGCTGGCCCCTCTGGACTCACAGCGGTCTCCTGTTTCTCAGAGGGGAGGACCTGTCTCCACACAGAGCTCATGTGTGCGCATGGGCATGTAAATAGAACACCACACAGAGCTTCCAGTGGAGATAACTGTGTTTTAGAGTTATTGTGCCTTCACGTTTGTGTATGTAACGTGTGTCTATGTCTGTGGACATGATGTGAGTGTCCATGTTTGTGTACTGCGTGTGTCTGTGTACATGATGTGCGTGTCTGTTTGTGGACACAGTGTGTGTTTGTTTATGTAATCTTAAGCTCCAGATAATTATCCTCTTAAGAGATTTGTATTTTTAAGGTCTGGATAATAAGTGGTAAGGGTTCAATGAACTTTGTAGCCTGCTTGTTGTTTGAAGGGCCACTGGTCCTTTCCATTTAGCTCGAGCAGGAAGGGGCATTTAGGCTTGGGTGGGAAAGATCTCACAAAAGCCAGGTGAGTCCCATGGGTGAGGCTGATGAGAGTCCTCAGATGGTCCTTCAGGACTGATGAGGGCCTCAGGTGGTCCTGTGAGGACTAACGAGGGTCTTCAGGTGGTCCTGTGGGATGAGGTCCTCAGGTGGTCCTGTGGGGACTGATGAGGGTCCTCAGGTGGTCCTGTGGGGACAGACTGGTTCCTCAGATGGTCCTGTGGGAACCTACAAGGTCCTCTGGTGGTCCTGTGGGGACTGATGAGGTCCTCAGGTGGTCCTGTGGGCTGAGGGGTCAATTTGCCTGGCTTATTCTATAGAATGGCTGGCTCCTCTGCAGTCCTAGATCTGGTTGTATGGGATCTCCTCAGGTTTCATTTTCTGGCAAACAGAAAGTGCCTTAGAAATATCTATTTGACAGAGACTGATACCTTTGGCTTAAGACTCATGAGAGCTTTAGCCGCAGGGAAGGAGAGCTACCCGACCTCTCCTCTTGGCACACACATGGCCTTGTATTCTCAAGTGCAGTGGAGAGCAGCTGCTGCTGCTGGTCAGTCTGGTCCAAGAAGCAGAACAAGGCAGCTCTGAGCAGATAGGCTCTGAAGCACGGACTCCAAGTCCAGCTGCCTAGCCTGGAGTCCACTCTGCTTCTGGCCAGGTGGGCCTCTGTGGGCAGTCACTGACCTCTCTGGCTTCACTTGTAAAATTGGACTTTTCAGTACCTTTCTCTCAGGTTTGCAGTGAAGATCCAGGAATTGACATTTGTAAGGTTCTTATGTCAATGACAGACACATTCGGGAAGTCACTTGGGAGGTGTGGAAAGGTTCAGTGTCACTAAATAAATTAACAAATTTCCCAACTGACTTCTTGCCTTGCTAGATGCCCTTGCCAATTTCAAAAGTTTCCTGCAGTCTGAGTTCAGTGAGGAGAACCTTGAGTTCTGGCTTGCCTGTGAGGACTACAAGAAGATCCAGTCACCTGTCGAGATGGCGGAGAGGGCAAAGCAAATCTACCAGGAATTCATCCAAACGGAGGCTCCTAAGGAGGTGGGTCCTGGTGGCAGGTGGGTGGGCACCATTAGCCAGGGTCCACTCGTCCCCAGGATGGTCCAGCTGAGATATGGCCAGCACTGGAGCTCAGGTCTGCTCCTGGTGACACAGTGTCTGCCCAGGGCAACATTGGAGCTCTCGATTCTGTCTGGTCAATTTCCACCCATGGCCCCATGCCCTGGTGTGAGCAGTAAGCTGCAATCTTGGAGGAATTGCTGTCTCTGTAACCTAGTTCCTCCCCTTGTGAAACAGGAATAAGGGAGACTGCTTTGTAGAGTTGTTGGAGGATTAAATTAGGCTTGGAAGCACCCACCCCAGTGTCTGGACTAATGGTGCCCCCGAGCATCCCGCCTCCATCCCACACTGTCTTTTTGCCCCTAACCCTAACCCTTCAGCTCCTTCCCCCTCCTCCCTACTCTCCCATCCTATTTCCCCTGCCCCTGGCCTTGGGCATCTCCTCTGTCCTTGGGACGACAGGACAAGACTTCAGTCTATGAAGGCTAGCACAGATAGCTGCTAGACATGGAGCCCATGTGCCCCTGGCTGAGCCCGCAAGACCGGCTCTGATTCAGCCATGAGGAGACTTTGAGGGAGTTTGTTTTTTTCTTGCTATTACTGAAACCAAACTTCAAAGCTGACGAGGAAGTGCAGACACAGCAGCAAGGACGTCAGTGCTGTGTCAGGCCACTCTAAACCCAGCCTGGACACTAGAGGTCTCAGCGAGACTGGCTGAGCACGCCTTCAGGCAGCAACAGTGCCTTCACGGTGACTGGCAGGGAATCACACGCCCTCTGCCCCCCAGGGCCAAGAGCTGCAGTCACAGCATCGATCGTTAGTTCCTTTGTAATCCCTCTCTGGCCCTGTTGAGAGGACCATGTGTATGGATGGATGGCAAATTGTACACCCATGGGTGACAGATGTGCCCCTGCCATGACCAGTGGCCATCAGGCCAGGAGTGCAGAGGACCTTGGGCAGTCCAGGAGCTGAAAGGTGCTGGAGGGAACTGGGATCCCTCTCTGTGCTCTGAGCTCTGGAATACCCCGCTTGCCTTCCGCTCCTCCATGCCCACTGCGAGCTCTCCCTCCTGGGCTGCCATTCGGGTCCAGCATCCTATTTCTGTCCCTATGCACCCTGTGTACAGTGAGCAGGTGAACTGGAGTGGAGGTTACGTTGAAGTTGGGTTAGGACTACACTCCCTATTCCCAGTATATTCTCCTCTGCAGCTTGCATTCCTACTGACGTCATTCCTATTCATAGGATTCTATGATTTGTTGAAATACCTAAAAATGGTGGAACTCACCCAGACCTTTGAAAGTTGTTCTAAGCTCCAGGAAAACATTGCTCTCAAGGTCCCTTTGAAGTTATCATTGGTATGAAAATATGATTATTAAATAGTTTCAAAATAAATCCTGGCTGGATAACCTACTAGAACAAGAAAACAGAGGACACGAATCACAAGCTTCCAATTAAAATAACATAGACCTCCCTTCTAAATGACACAGGCTGATGGAATGGAATAATCCTATGCATGGGTTCCAAATGCAGGCCCTGCATTGTGAGCCAGAGAGGGCAGTAGGGAGGTAGATACCTTCTCCTGGATAACCAGCCAGGGCAAAGAGGTGGATTTTGCTCCCTGATAATAAGGCAGAGCAGAGGACCGGAAAGGTGATTCTGCCCCTGATATGGGCAAGAGCAGGGCACCAGAGAAGTATTTTCTGCCCCTTGTAAATGAGCCAGAGCAGGGTATCAAGGAAGTGGATCCTATCGCCTGGTAAAGAGCCAGAGAAGGGAAGCAGGGAGGTGGACCCTGCCCTCTGGTAATGAGCAAAAGAGAAAGATCCTGTCCCTGGGTAATGAGCCAGAGCAGGACATCAGAGAGGTGGATCCTGCCCCTGGGTAATGAGACAGAGCAGGACAGCAGAGAGGTGGATCCTGCCCCTGGGGTAATGAGCCAGAGCAGGACAGCAGAGAGGTGGATCCTTCTTGGGCATTGGCACACCAGGACTGTCTGGTTAGTGTTCCTGAGGTCAGTGGATGCCTGTATCCAGCAGACCCGTACTAGATGTGTGGCTTTTTGCAATTCTCTCAGGCCTGTGTTCTCTCAGAGCCTGTTTCTCTTGACTGTGGACATTTTGCATTCATCTATGTTTAATATATTTTGCTAATCTTGCATTTTGATGTAAATATTCACTTTTTCAATTTGAAAAGATTGATCTATATTACAAAAAGTAGTCATCCAAGTTTTTTGTTTCTCTGAATTTTTACTTCAGCTCGCTTTTCAGGACCTGTCTGAGAGATACAATCGTAGAGATTGGAACTAAGATTTTTAAAATGGAATGGCCATGTGTAGCTGGATACGGAAACAACTTGTGCATTGCATCATTTGCCTACATCTAAGTTATTTTTTTTTTAAGAGAGAGAGAGAGAGAGAGAATCTTTTTTTTTTTTTTTGTAGATAGACACAACACAATGCCTTTATTTTTATGTGGTGCTGAGAATCAAACCCGAGTCCTGCGCGTGCTAGGCGAGCACTCTACCACTGAGCCATAATCCCAGCCCTACATTTAAGTTATTGATGTAGGGAGGAGGCAAGGCACTAAAGAGAGCAGGAACAGTTTTATTTGGCTGCATGTTCAGAGGGTACAGCTTTTGCTGTAATCAATCAATCCCCTGAACCCCGAGTTCAGGGAGTTTCAGAGTGTAAGGGGAGGGGCTCAGAAGTTCACAATCTGTAGAAGTTCACATAAAAGCAGTTTTTCTTTCACTGTTCTGGGCATGTTAACCCCTCAAGGACAGCTCCTGAGGAGGGGAGAGCGTCTTCTCCCCTTTCTTCCCTCCCCCTGCCAGCTGTTACCATGGAGCCCAGGTGTAACTTCTCTTAGAAGGGTAGACCTCTCTGTGAAGCCCAGCTCAAGGCCAGAGGCCTTGTTTACACACTTCTACAAACTACTATACTGGGTACAGGTTTGTGAAAAACAAGTAAAGGGGCGTTCAGCACCTGCAGTGCTGATTTCTTCCCGGCCAGTGGCCAAGTAAAAGTGGGCAACTCCAAAATAGGAAGTTAATCTACATTGAACTCTTTTGTAGAGACTCTTTTTTGACAGTCCTAAAATCAGCTACTGTGAAGATTTCTGGAGCCACCCAGTTAAGACTTTTCTGTGGAGAAAGGAGGTGCCAATACAGTGGGAGGAACTCTGAACCGTGAATAGAGGAGTCTGCTGTGGCCGCCCCTCTGCCCAGACTCCTGCCCCTGGACTTGCAGTTTGAGCTTGCCAGCCAGAAAACTGGCATGAAAGGCAGGTCTTGGCCCTGTCCTCCTGCAGGCTGCTCCCCTCCCACCACTGCTCTTCCACCAGGCCGGTACCGGGCACTTGCCCTGAGCTTACAGGCACAGCTCAGTCCTGCTGTCTTCCTGCCCTGTCCTCCCCAGACCTGCCTTAGTCTCTGATTAGCCTACTGCTGCTCCTAAGTATCTGAATTCCGGAAATGGCTCTGTTCAGTGGCGGGACCTCCAGTAAACCCAGGAGAGACCCTCAAACCTCCTCCAGGGTTCCAACTCAGGACCACTGGCCCTTTTGATTCTGTTTTCTTCTCTATTACACTCAGACCCCTTGAGAGTCATTGAAGCATATTGTGAAGTACAAACATACTTTTCAAATCACACTCAGGCATGTTCTTGAGGCTGTGCCCTGCTCAGCCACAGGGGAACCGGCCACACAGTCCTGATATGAGTGATGCCCAGCTTGGGCAGTGCGTGGCCCTGCACACAGCACGTGTGAGCCCACCACCTTCCATGGCTTTGCTGGCTTCTTGATTTGCTTTTCACCACTGTGACCTTGAGCAAATCGCATACTGTTTCCACACCTGTTTCAGCTGAGAAATGAAGATAGATGGCAGTACCCTCTTGATGTGGTTATAGGGTCCCCAAGTTTATCCACAGGAAGAGCACACCACTGGCAGAGATGAACCACTCAACAAATGTTAGCAGCTATGTGATCATTCTCTCCTGTTTCCTCACTTTCTTGATTTTCTAGAGTCATGGATGAGGTCATGGATGAGGTCATGGTCCCTGGTCAGAATCTTCTTTTCTCTCCGCTCCCTCTGCAAGGTGTGAAAGCAGATGCTGCGGCAGAAAGGTGTGGGATTCCGTGGCAAGACCCCTGGCTCAGACACACTCCTTAGTGTTCTGGTCTCAAAGCCACTGAACATTCTATGTGTGTGCATGTGTGTGTGTGTGTGTGTGTGTGCAAGCATGCATGTGCATGATGTTCATATGTGTGGGTGCATGTATGTGCATGTGTGAGCATGTTTATGGGTACATGTGTGGGTGCTGTGTGAGCATGTGCATGTGTGTGCAGGTGCATGTGTGTGAATATGTGCATGTGTGAACACATGCAGGTGTGTGTCTGTGTGTGCATGTACATATGTGATCATGTACGTGTGTGTGCATGTGCATGTGTGAGCATGTGTGTACATGTGTGAGCATGATTAAGTGTATGTGTGTGAGCATGTGCATGTGTGAGCGTGTGCAGGTGTGAACATGTGCAGGTACATGTGTATGCATGTTCATGGGTGCATGTGTGCACATGTATATGTGTGTACATGTGCATGGGTGTTCATATGTGTGTATGAGAGCATGTGCATGTGTACACATGTGCAGGTGCATGTGTGTGATCATGTGCAGGTGTGTGTGTGCGCATGCATGCATGAATGTGGGTGCATGTGTGCACATATGTATGGGTTCATGTGTGCACGTTTTATGTGCATTCATGTGTATGTGTGTGAGCATGTGCATATGTACATATTTGCAGGTGTGTGCAGACATGCATGTGTGTTCATGTGTATGTGTATGATCATGTGCGTGTGTGTTCACATGAATGTGTGTGAGCATGTGTATGTGTTTGTGTGTGCGTGTGTGTTCTGTAAAGCAGTGTCTCCTTGGTCTTGCTAGGCTCAACAGTGTGCTGCCTGCTGTGCAGGCTCTGGTGGGGCCGGGGTCTGAGGGCGGCTGGGAGAGTCTGAGTCACCGAAGTGTGCGTGCCTGGCCTCAGGGCTGACTCACCCGGCCTTCTCCCTGTTTAGGACTCTTCCCTCAGGTGTTTTATTGGTACCTTCAGCCTCCTTCTCCGCCCCTCTCCACCTGCAGCCTGGGCTGACCCTGCAGCCTTGCTTCTGGTCCACAGGTGAACATCGACCACTTCACCAAGGACCTCACGGTGAAGAACCTGGTGGAGCCTTCCCTGAGCAGCTTTGACTCTGCCCAGAAGAAAGTCCATGCCCTGATGGAGAAGGATTCACTGCCTCGCTTCCTGCGCTCCGAGTTCTATCAGGAGCTGGTCAAGTAGTGGCCTGGTCCTGAGCCATGCCCTCCACCGTAGCCGGCCCTTTGCACACCCACCTACCCTCCAAGGCTTTGCTCACGGTGCGCAGCGAGGGCCAAGCGCTGCTCATCCTGGCCCACTGCTTTGGAGTGGCTCTGCCTCTGCTCCATTCTTAATCAAGCTCTGCCTGATTTCTGTTAGCCCCAGTCAGATCAGATGGTCCTGCCTCAGACACATGTGCAAGACAAGAACAGGGTGTCATCAAGTGTGGCCTAGATAGCAGATGGCCACCGGCACCAGCTGAGGAGTGTGGAAGGGAAGTCGGTTTCCAGGGACCTTAGTTAGTTACCCCTTTTTCATTCCTGAATTTGGTCAGAAGAGGTGGTAAGAGTCTTATTGATGTTTAATTCTAAAGTGAATTTAAAATTCTGCTCTTTCCCTTCAAGCATCTTCATATTTGCTGGATAGTGTTGAGATACAACCACAAATATGTGTTTGTATAAAACCAATCCAAATATGATTCAGGCTAATTCTGTCCTTATCCCTCCCTCACTTCCTCCCTATAAATTTACCAATTATATTTTAAATCAATGACCTCAGATCAACAATGGGCTATTTTATAAATGTATTCATGTTCATGGGATGTAGACCAAAATTTTTATTTCCAAATTATTTGAAATCCTTGTGAGGGTACAATTAATTCCAAAAATTCTCTGATCTTATAAAGCTGCTGCTGTTCCCTGGAGTGACTGCCTTCTAGGTGTCAGGAGGGCGTGCACTTCCAAGGGTAGATATGGCCTGCAGTGGTTGCCAGGCATGAATATCCCTGTCAGTGAAGGCTGGCTGACTGGAAGGCTCATCATCCTTGGAGGGCAGTGTGGTTGCCACTGCAGGCTTCCAAGGAGAGGCAGTTCCAAGGGGCCCTGCAGTTTGCAATTTGCAAAGCTACCAGCCCTTCATGACCACACCCTGTCCTGCCTCCTGCCTGAGTGGCGGCTACCTTGGAGGCTGAGGCTCACTCCCCACCTGCACAGCTAAGGCATAGGCCACGCTGTATCGTGGACCTGAACTTCTGATTATGCATTGCATTATCATAAACGTTGTTAGACTTTTCCTGAACTGTAGTAGTTATTACCAAATTATGTGAATCATCTCATTATTGATGATTCACATAATTTGGTAATAAGCAAAATCAAGCTGAACCATGTATATGAGATCAAGGAGGACACAGGGCTAGTTCATAGAGGGAGGTGATGAGGGGAATCCAGGGGAAGGTGACCCTGTCCAGTCCTACATTCACTCCTGCCCATGTGCATGCTCCTTTCTCATGGGTGCAGCTCCTGCTTGTAATCCCCTAGGAACGTCAGGAGAGCGGCAGCTGTGCTACTGTTCTTAGGGCCAACCCAAGTGTGCTGGCCTTTGTGTTTTTGTGATTTCAAGGGATAATGTGTTTGAATTCTTGACTGGAAGTGGGTTGGAGTGACTGAGTTGGCACCACATCTGCAGGGGGATGGACTTGTGCAGCCCAGGTGAAAGTCCCTGTGTCAGTTGAGGGCAGTCAGGGACCAGGCTGTGTGTGTGAGTCCAGCTGTGCACCTGTGTGGGTTGACAGGAGCTCAGACAGGAATTCCAGGGCATGCTGGCACCCTCTTCCCCAGCACCTGACTGCTCTGCTTTGAGTCAGGGAAATGCCAACACCTGCCTTTCTCATGCAGCTAGAAATGTTGCGACCAAAAAATCTAGGTGACTTGCGTTTTTTCTTGAATGCCAAACATTTTTAAGAAAAAAATAATTAAAAATTTAAATATCTTATCCACGTTATTTTAAATACCAAGCATTTGAAAACACCCAGAGATTGAAGTGGACATTACAGATTCCACCCAGAGGTCTGCTGATCGCAGATCGCAGCTGGTGCTTCTCAAGCCAGTGCAGACCTGTGGCAGATGTGGTAGGGGAGGAGGAGGCAAAGCGCAGGAAGGGCCCCAGTGGTACCTTGCTGGGATGTGGCCAGGCATGCTCTGCTTACCTACATGTAGCTGTACATTCAGAGCAGAATACACAGGTCGTATCAGAAACTCTTCCAGCATACAAGTAGTGCAAGGAACATAAATTTTCCAGCCTGAAATGAGAAACCCAATGTATTAAAACTGCCCTAGAAGAAATTCTGAAAGGTTTGGAAAGTATTTTGAAACTTGGAAAAACAAAACAACACCCCATGTTATTAGTTGTTTCCATGGTAACAGGAAGAAAACACATTCCTTTAGATCTGGGGAACTGAGAAGTTAGAAAAGTGGGAGGAGCTCTCCAGGAGCCATGTGCATCCCTTTCTCCCACTCCTCTGCCCTGCCCTGAGTGAATGGCGGGAGCCTGAGAGGCTTTGGCGGTCTCCCTCCCCTGGAGTCGCAGCCCCTGCAGGAGGACTTGGGAAGTAGGGAGGTTGGAGCAGGCTGTGGTCTCAGGAGATGGAGTGAGACGGTGCAGTGGCCCAGGTGTTGGTGGCTGTTCTGCCTGGGTTTGGTATAGGGTGGGGCTGGGCAGATGAGGTTTAAGTTAGAGCAGGACAAGGAGACTGGATTCTAGAGCAGATTAGGAAGCTGCGCATGGTGTTCGGCTACTGCAGCGGGGCTTGCTCCTGTAACCCCCACCCAACAGCTTGGGCACATGGCGCTGCCCTGGCTCCCGGACCTCACTCAGAGCAGCAGTCACCAGGTGAAAGTCAATGTCCTACTTCCGCTCTCCACACCTGTGTACCACTTGACTGTACAAATTAGATTCAGCAGATTTCAGATTTTAGCAGAGGGAGAAGAACTTGATGAAGAATTTTTTTTTTATCCTCTCTAAAGTCTTGGGTTTTACTTAGTGATGTGCTCTTGGTACATAGTTCATTTCAACAGGGTGACCTTAATCATTGCCCAGAGAACAAAAGGGGTCCATTTACAATATGCTCAGAAGTAATGAGCACCCCAGGCCTCGCCAAGCCACCTGTCCCATATTGTGATGACTCCAGGTCACCTAAGGGCAGCTGTGTCCTGGGGAAGTGACTTCCTACTGCTGCCCCTGCTCCCTCTAGCAGGCCAAGACCTGTAAGGTGAGCCCACTGGCCAGGAGGCAGCAACCCAGCCTGGTAGCCAGTGCAGCTGCGTCTTACTGTAGAGCAGCAGGGTGGGTCCCTGACTCAGTGGAGCCGGAGGAGACCTCAAGCCAGCACCCCAGCTGTTGGCCCTGGAAAGACAGAGTGGACGCCCCCTTCTTTCCCTATTTGCCTTAGGTACCAGAGGGCAGAGTGGAGAGACCAGTTTTCAACACAGATGCATTCAAACCTGGGGCCAGGCAGCCCTGCATGGGCTCAGGGTGCATCCCTGAGCTGTAATAGGGTCTGGCCAGCTGTCCAGTCTCTGCTTCCGCTAGACAAGTGTGTGTTTGTCATTTGCTGGGTCAGGTTCTGCTTGTGTTGACATGATTTACCAAGGAGGTCCTGTGGCAGACCAAGCCGTCAGTACCCAGTACCCACAGAAAGGCCTTCCTACACTGCCCACCCCAGCTGCCAGGGCCAGGGCTCCCTGGAGGAGGTGTCCAGGAGGGGAACTCATGGCACACAGAGATGAGCAGGATAAACACACTGGAGACCTGTGGAGTGTCCCTTTGTGTCATATCTAGCAGGCTCCTCTTATAGAAGAGAAGCTATGAAGCCACCCTCTTCATGTCCACGCTAGCCAGCCTCTTGCCCATCACTGATCTTACTTGCTTTTCCTCCTTCCTCACTCTGATGGTCTCCTTTCTTCCCTCTACGAGAGGAAACATCCACCATGTCTGCCCAATGTGCCACGGTGTACGCAGAGCTTTCCCTGGCCACCCGGGGAGTGCAGGCTGTGGTGGGCAAAGGGCAGGGCAGAGATTTGCCCCTGCAGATGAGTGATTATCTGATATGCTTGCTCAGAGTCCTCTTCATGTCACGTGGTGTCAGGACTCGGGAGCTGAAGGCTTCTAGAAAGCTGCATCTCCCTGGACATTTCCAGCAGCCACGGCCACAAAGAGAGCAGAAGGGAAGGGTCATCTCCCCACATGTAGCATTTGTCCACAGCTGGTAACTGTGGGAGAGTCATGTCTGTCTTCTGGTTTTTATATCCAACACTTTACATACTATGTGATTCATGCTTCTTGATAAATAAAGCACCACATCCATATCTGTGACCATGTGGCATGTGTACATTAAATGGGCATCTATGTGACAGCCACCTCAGGGTCCTCCTTCCCAGGGTGCAGGTGCCCTTCCTGAGAAGTCAGCTGGAACAGCTCGACCTGCGGGACTCCACAGAGGAGATACAAAGTGCCATGTCCATATTCTCTGATGGCACTTTGTTCTGGCAGGGGTGACAGTAAGTATTGTCACTGCTGTCACCCCTGGGAGAACAGACAGCACAGCACTGATGTGGACCCTGTGATGCTCAGTGAGGGTGATGGCTTCTTGTTCTCCCTGAGCCAGTGAAGGGTCTGAAATCCTGTGCACACAGGGCTACATGCACCTCTATGATCTGACATGTGGTAAGTGACATGCTGAGGTCACAAAGCTAGTGAGACTCAGACGGAGTGGAAGGGCAGAGCTTATGCAGAAAATAAGTGAAAATAGGAGCAGTGATAGGAAGCCACATGGAAAGAGACAGAGACAGCAAGAAGACAGGTGGACATGGGAGAGATGGGGACGCGCCTGCCTTGGCCTCGGCAGGCTTCAGGTTCTCAGTCCTGCTCCTATGGGCCCGGCTGCATCGCCTATAGGTGCAACACCCTGAATCACTCCAACACTGCCTCTTCACTGCAGTCATCTTGGTTGGGTTCATTTCTGGGAGTTTCCACCAAGAAACTCCAGTACGATAAAGATCACGGACACTTCTGACTCCCCCCAAGCAAGAGGTTTTCTCAGGCCACCATGAAAACACATGTAAAGCAGGGTTCAGAGATCAGATGCCTCCCAGGCTCCTGTCTGGTCCACCAGATCAGAGGAGCCACCTGCGACTCCAAGAGGCTGGTGTTATTGGCCCCAACCTGAGCAGAACCGGCCCTGTCCAGTGGGAGCCCATTCTGCCCCCACCAGGCAGGTAAGGCAGGCTCTCCCACATTCAGATGTCCAAAGCACACTCATCAGGGTCTTGCAAATGATGCCACCCGTGGACCTCTTTCGAATGTTGACTTTCAGCCGGGCTCCCAGGGCCTCCACTGGGTTCTGCCATTCAGTCAGCCCATCAGCAAGTCCCTGGGCTGCTTCCTGCACTTCCCATTTTCATGCCTCTGGTTTTAACTTGTTAAAACAGTGACACAGATAAAAATGTCACTGAAAAGTAGAGCTTGCTGGGGCGGTCCTGGCTCATCCTGGCAGACAGGCCTCAGGGTCGCCTCCTTGAGGTCACAATTCCAAGTCACTTGCACCACTGGGGCTGCTGCTGGTGGCAGGTGACGGGGTGAGGGTGCTGCGCTTGAGCCAGCAACGCCCTCCAGTGCCGGGGGGGAAAGTCAACCATGGGAAGACCAGGTGGCACCTGGATCTGCTCTGCTCCCTGAAGCCCGTGT